CGTTTTATTTGTAATCAAAGTTGATCTGAAGTCAAAAATTTAGAAACATAATGTCAGTGTACTATTTCTTCATCATTCAAATTATTTAACTAACTAAACATTTGAAACTAAAGCAAGAGTACCCCAGTGGAACACTGGTAAGTTTACGGACTTACAACGCTAAAATACGGGGTTCGATTCCCCGCGGTGGACATAGCAGATAGTCTAGTATGGCTTCGCTCGAAAACAAACAAACTTGTCCATTTCGGATAACAAACAAACTAAAGAAAAAACCTCTATTGAGTGTTAGTTTACCAACAGAAGTTAATTTCTGTTTGCAGTCAATTTCTTTGTACAAGAGATTTCTCACAGACATTATCTGCAACGTTTTAGATAATACGTATATTTAAGAAGTGGTAGCTGCAATCCTTCAGGGTGATGATGTCTTTTTTATTATTCTCAGTGTTTGTAAGAGGAGGTGATCACTTTGAAGGTAGAAAAAAATCAACGTTTTTGCGTTAAAAAGTGGCAAATTTGTTTGGGGACACTTGAATAGTGGGCAGGTACCATGGAATGGAAGTTTGCTAATGTTACTCCTCTTTTCAAGATGAAAATGTTCCAAGTAATTATAGGCCTATTAGTTTTACATTAATTGTGGGAAAGTTTTGGAAAGTGTGATAAAAGATGCTTTTACAAAGTCATTTAATTAACAAAGTTTAGAACTTTATTGGATAGTCAAAATGATTTCACTAAGGGTAAATCCTGCCTTACAAAACCTTTGACATTCTTTGAAAAGGCTACTGCTTATGCACATGAGGGTACGGGTGTAGATTTGTTGTATCTGAAGCTTCAGAAAGCATTTGGCAAGGTGCTACATAAAAGGCTTGTAAAAATTATCTCTATGGGTGTGGGGTATAAGCTAGCTAATTAAATAGAAGAGTGGCTGGATAGAATAAAACAGAGAGCTGTTATGAATGTAGTTAAATCAAACTGTCACAAGTGGGGTACCTCAGGGTTCAACCTTAGGACCTTTGCTCTTTTTGACTTGCATCAAAGATACAGATGAAGGAATTGTCAATAAATTACTTAAATTTGCTGATGATATTAAGGTCTTGGATGTTGATAGCTATAAAGAGGATGCTGCTGCTTTACAAAAGAATTTAGATCATTTAGTGAGTTGGGCGAATAAACGGCAGATGTGTTTTATTTATAATAAATGCAATAAAATGCATGTGGGTTATAATGATTTGAATTATAAGTATAATTTGGATGGGAATAACCTAAACAATGTTACGAAAGAAAGGGATCTTGGTGTGGTGTTTGATCATTCTTTTAAGCCATTTAAGCAGTGCGCTGTTGCTAGTGGTGGGGAAAAATATGATTTTAGGCTGTATCAACAGAAATATTGAATACAAGTGTAAATAGGTTATAACTTCATTGTATATGTCACTGGTTAGGTCACATTTGAGTATTGCGTACAGTCTTGGGCTCCTTGCCTTAGGAAGAACATTGAATTTTTGGAGAAGTTTCAGAGCAGGGCTACTAGAATTTGTGCCTGTGATGAAGGGTTGTCATACGAGGAAAGGTTAAGATCTCTGAAATTGTTTTCTCTTGGAGAAAGAAGAGTTAGGGGGATCTCATTGAAGTGTTTAAGATTGTAAAGGGAATTGATAGTGTTGATGCATCATCTTTTTTATACCTAACAGTGATAATAGTAGGACTAGTGTACACAAATATAAATTTTGGCAGGGTAGTAGGAGTCATTTTTAGCTAAAACAGTTTTATTTTTCTAACAAGGTGGTTGATTTTTGGAACGGGTTGCCTTTGGATGTTGCGAAAGCAGTAAATTTAAGTGAGTTTTATGAGAAAGCTTGATAACTATATGAATGATAAGGACCAATTTTGAGGGGGTTTATCTTATTTTTTTATTTAATAGTTTTAGTTTAGTTTAGAGGATAGGACAGCCTAGATGGAACAATAAGTCCCTTGTTGTCTCTAAACATTGCGTTATGTTTATTCTGTTGAACTTAACGCAAAGCTACCCGAGGGCTCTCTGCGCTAGCAATCCCTGATTTAGAAGTGAGAGACTACAGGGTAGGCAACTAGTCAACACTACTCACCGCCAAAACTTGATTACTCTTCTGCTAACGAAAAAGGAGATTGAACGTCACATTATAACGCACCACGGCTGAAAGAGCGAGTATGTTTGGTGACGAGATTCGAAGTTGCGATCCGCAAATTGCTAGCCAAACCATCCTAACCATCAGGCCTCTCATGTTGTATCTCACTGACTTGGGAAAAGCTGCTATTTGAATTAGTGAACATCCTTAGTGACCTATAACTTCAATGTTATATTTTGTTTATTATTAGTGTCTAGCTGGCAAGAAAACTCTGTTCAATATCCAGTACTTACGAATGTACCTTGCAGCAATAGATCAGACCACAGAATATTTGTAAAACACTGTATTTCTTTTAATGAAACTTTTGTATTCACTAGGTAAAATAATATTAAGTAAATAAAATGATTTTCGTCGCGTATTATTTCTGAAATATACACTCCTGTTAATACTTAGATCCACAAAATATTTTTACCGTAAATGTAAAGTATAAACAACAGTAAGATGTAGGCAAACATGAGTTAGCGTCTTGAGAAACCAAATATCATCAAATTGTAGTTATGCATTGTTGTAGCCTATCTGCTTTTGCTTCTTGTACCTACTACATACAGCCTACCAGTACAGGATAAATCACGTGGTTCTCTTAAACACAATGCACATGAAATCGATTATGGTCGTAATTATACGGTATACTCACCCAAAACAATAGCTTAAGAAATACCTTTAATTACAAACTGGGTTCGAGATTAATGGTGTAGTTAAACAACATAAATACTTTTGGTTTACATATATATAGGCTTAACAGGAAGAAAATGTTACGTGAGGTAAAAAAAAAGATTCAATCTTTTTTTTCCCATCAAAGCGTAGTAAATTTCAGTTATCATCATTATAAACAAAACTGACTGTAGCTTTTCTAAGGTAATTAACTTCAGAGCCTTTTACATCATTAACTGTATCTATATTATATGTTGTCCAATAACAAATGTATGAAACTTCCGCTCATTATTTTGTATTGTTGAAAATGTGTTTGATTTTGTCAGTTAATAGTATATTATTGTAAAAAAATGAGGATTCGAGGTTTATGTGTTATTGGGGAATAAATAATTCGGTTTCACCAGGAAGGAAATGATCGTCTTCACTGACATTCAGTTGAAGTAGTAGCCAAATAAATTGTGTTATATAATGGCGAAAAGAAACTGTTAAGACACAGTTCGTTTCAAGTATACTAACATTACTCAAACCCATAGAAATATTTATTTAAGATAAGCTTAAAAACTAAGGTGTTATGCCAAGGTTAAACTGCCCGCTTTCTTTTCATTTGAATTGACACCATCAGGAGTATCCTGTTTAAAATTTTGACTATCTTAAAAATCTGAATAGTTTATGGATTATTGAAAATGTCCATCTTGTTTTAATACGAAGAACATGACACGACATCTTCCACGCTCGACACAATATTAAACATAATGTGGGCAAACAATTTGTACCGTTTAAGTAAACAGTTGTCACAAAACGTTTATCATACATGCATTTAGGAGGAGCAAAATAGGACGTGGTAGAAATATGTCATTAACAGAACGTACTGTAACACTCTTAGCTGAAGTATGTGCCACAACAAAATGTTTTGTCACACTCTTAGCTGAAATATGTGCCATAACAGAATGTTTTGTCACACTCTTAGCTGAAATGTGTGCCATAACAGAACGAACTGTCACATTCTGAGCTGAAGTATTCACCAAGTCCATCTTAAGGAAGATTCAACGTCCTTTCATAGAATGACGTATGATTATTGACAATAGAGTTTCATACTGTGAGTCACCTCCTGGCAAATCGATATATTAACAGAACATGCTACCAGCGACGTCTTAACATATTATTATTAACAGATATTGCGCCCAGGAAGTGTCTACAGCGTTTTTAGAATACACTGACACACCAAATACTACTTTCAAATTACTTGGAAACTGAAGGAGGGGGTAAACATCAGGCCGAGCTAAATATTATCAAGAATTTTGGCCCATACGTTTGATATAGGATCACCAGTATATCAGAAGGAAGTGGAGTAATATATATTATTAACGAAGGAACTTCTAGTTTGTAAGTAAAACACATTTGTTGACTCACGTTTGTGATTTTTCTGCTTCAGTTTATCGCAAATCTAGTCAAAACACAAGACTAGATAGAGAATGTCTGTAGTTCAGAAATACACAAATATAATGTTTGTAGCTCAGTACGCTTGCTGAAAGCTACACATATACAGTGCTTTATAAGTAGGGAATTTTCACAGTAAAGAAGGTACTTTTACTGACGATTGAATTAATGATACACATAAACTTGTTTCTCTCTAACACCAACCCCGCAGTTGATCATCAGCAAATAGAACAGACGGTTTGATTGTTTATCGCTCGAGTCGTATCGATAAGACCGTATACATTCTTGAATGCAACACAGATAGTTACGATCAAAGAAGTTTGAAAGTCCATGAACTAGCTGATAAACACTAGTTAAAGAAATTTAATACAAAATTATAATCTGTACTAGAAGATAGTGTTTGATATAGATTTTCAGATTAAATATTTGTTGAGTGTTTTTTATATCTTGTATAAACGTTATGGTTTAAAGTAAAAAATTGATAATTTTGTTCACTGTTTTAGAAATTCAAAATAACATATAAACTCAAAGGAATGACTGGAGTGTTTTGAATTCTAGTTTTCATGTATAGCTTTAGTTTCAGTTAATATTATTTCAGAATTCGAATTATCTAACGAGTATACTAGTTTAATTTTTTTGTTAAGCCTTTCCAAATTCCCTTGTAAATGTCTTTTTATGAGATGACAACTTCTATGAAAATGAATCTCAGTGCAAACAATACAAACTAGATTCAACTGATGGTGCAAAAATAGATGATCATGGTTTTATTGACAATGACGAAAGTGGCACAACAGTAATGCTTTTTTTACAACAATGATCTACTTTAAATATACAATACTATTTACACGTTAACTTACGATGACTGGGCTTTACAAGCAAAGGAATAAGAAAAAAAAAAGTATTTTCAATAAGTCCAGTATGATACGACTCTTCCACGTCTTCCATGGCTGCTGTGGACCGGATGTACGCCATACCTAGATAATAAGCTTATGGAATTTGACTTGCAAAATTAATATTATGGATTCTCCAGACGACTTTACATTTAGAAGCCAGTCACTTTTTTCTGTTAACGTATGCAATATTTTACAAACATGCAAGGCACATTGTCCAGCTGTATGTAGAGTTTGCTCCTCCGAAGATGATAAATAAATAATCCTTATAGTATGACTTGTTTTGAAACACGTTAGCGAGGCTTAGAAGAGGCTTAAGGACATCACTGATGATGTCACACCTCCGTGGCAAGCATCTCCTCATTCAACTCTTCTTGTCTATAGTCGTCACCAATGATGTACACGCTACTGTGAGGACATGAAGATAAGGAATCACTAGATAAAACAAAAAAAAAACGTATTACTTCAACAGCAGACACCTAGCTGGCAATACACAATATATAAGTATGTTTTTACCTGTATACTTACTCAGAAAATCTATCTATATACTACTAAAACTCTGGGATTGTTTGTTTGTGTGCTTGTCTGTAATTAAATACAGCAAAAACGGCGCAAAACAGCTCCATATTTGTAATGAAATGAGAATAAAAACAGAATAAAACAAGTTTCGTTAAAATCGGGCCACGAGTTACCGAGTTAGCCCCGTTTTTCGGGTCACTTTTCGTACATTCCATTATTATAAAACTTCGTTTATACAACAATATATGCCCAACAGAAATTAAATGATGAGATGAAAATGTGTTATAACGCCACGTAGAAAGAACAACAATAAAATGGACCTACAATATTATTGACGATGTGCAAATAGTAACTATGGAGACGAGGTAATAAAATAAAAATCAAGTCGAGAACAACAACAAAATTTTATAAACGAAAACCTCTCGCTGAGCATTGGCTATTATATTATCTCCCTGTCAATGTTCCCATCTTCATTAAAAGGCATAAGATGACAAAAACAAGATCTTGAAGAATCTATCTATATAATACTAAACTCTAAGACTGTTTGTTTGTTTGCTCAGTCAAAAAATCATTCACACTACCGTTCGCGCTCTTTACGAAACTTCTTACTTCACTTTTTTGAAAAATAAAATGGTCTTTCCTTTTACTCCCGATCAACAATCAAATATCGTTTCTTGAATTATAAATAACACGAATGGATTGAAATATTTAATTATCTCAAAATAAACCTTCATTTCAGTGCAATACTGAAATTAGCTTGAATTCTTCATAACCTCTGAAAAGTGGTTAATCACTAAACCTAGCCTCGATGCCCCAAGTATGAACCATTTTCTCATACTCCAGTCAAGTTGCAGCCTCTACCACTTTACATAACAGTTTTCTCCACGGATTTACTATCCTTTTATAGAAATAAAACTGCCTCAACTAGAGATGTGCCTGACCTTTACAAGTCTTAAATTTAATAGACGTATCTTATTCGGTAATGAAATTTGAAGCCTCGATTTTCCTCTGGTATACGTAATGTATTGTGATATTGCTATATTTCAATCTGATATACATAATAGCATGTATTGTTATATTTCAATCTGATATACATAATAGCATGTATTGTTATATTTTAATCTAATATGCATAATAGCATATATATTGTTATATTTAATTTAATATACATAATAGTATGTATTGTTATATTTTCATATGACATACGTAATAATGGTATGTATTGTTATATTTCAGTCTGATGTTCCAGTTTGCGTTTTTATTAATAAAAGCTGAAATTTAGCTTTATTTTAGAAATAAGTGTTGAACGATCGAGTAAGCGTAATAATAAATCCAAACCGCGTGAAGATGTAACTTACACTCTATTTATCATATAACGTGATTCTGAAGGTAAAATGAATCTGAGTACATAACGTTACTTTAGTCTAAATTTTAACCACGTATACACGAAATGTTTTGAGATTTGATGTGAAGGTCGTAATCTTATTGATAGCAACAAAAATAAGAGGTAAAACATGACAATAGAAACTAATGCATTTAGGCTTCATATACTATTGCAGAAATAGTCTATAGGGCTACGTATATGCCAGGAATTTTTCCTTTTATTATTACTGAAAGGTAAGGACTCAAGTCCAAAGAAATGGTGGAAATAAAGTGCCCTCACCAATGAAACTTGAAGAAATACAGCTAATAAGGCGCTCTCTAACACTCGACATACTGATTACACACACTTATATATCTGGCAATAGTAAAAACATATTTTGTCATTAAGTGCATACCTAAAGTCGATAATAATAATATGCTGAATGTTTAATAAGTAATATCCCTAGACGCCAGATAAACAACTTAATGACCACAGATGCCACTGAAGTATTCCACCAGAAGGAGTTTCAAAAACTGTTAGTAGACTGTAATAGTTTGTTAGTGACGAAAGACCGAGATGAGCTTTACATTAAAGATAAGCAATGGAACCACTATACAGAAAACCTATCACTAGTTCCCTGGTGGGTCAGTGGTAATTTTATGGACATACCACGTAGAAATACGGGGTTCGACTCCCCGTGGTAGACACGGCAGATAGCCAAATGTAGCTTTGTCCTGAAACAAATACAACTGTGCCACAGTTTGAAATATCTGAATTTCATATAACATATAAGATATGATGGATATTAACAGAAGAATAACAAACCTCTGAATCTCGTATCAGCAGAAATTTACTTCAGATAGTTCGGAATAATTTACACGGCATGATTTATTTACAGAAATTATAGTAACACCTATCTGTTATACATGTGTGAAACTGAAGCTGAATGGACATATAAAAATGATTAAAAGAATGTTTGTTTGTTTTTTCCACAACATTGAAAATCACTTAAAAAATTAAATACTTGATAGAAGTATTTCTGTCAGTTTTTCTGTTAAAACTTTGTTTCCGGTTTTCTCAAACTTATAAAGATCTTGTTATCCAATATCAATTGAAGACTATGTGTGTACGTTAGAAAATGATCTGATATTCATAGAATACAACATTTTTATTAACAAAGAATATGAATATTCTAGTTCATCGCACTCGTAAGCTCCTTTTGGTATGATAAATTTTACGACATGTCCCTAAATGCTTTTGTGTACACAGTTAAGGTTTTTATTTTTGGCAAACAGTATATATGAAGAGGAAAGAAAGTAGAACTCCCGTTATCGAATTCCGATATATCCATATATAGAGAAATATCTGGCAAAGTTAAGCTGAGAAGACTAAATATTACTGGCAAACAAAACAAAAAACTTCACAATAGTTAATGATATAACTTTACGAGGTTCTTTCTAGCCCTCATAAGCTTGCTTAAATTACACAGACCTGCGAATTTAAACTTCATAAAATTTCTTTTGGTTTTAATAACGGATATTCCATAATTCAGCTACGCAGATTTCAAAAATAATATTCATTTTTTTCTATAACGAAAAGATTTTTTTACAAATTGTGAAGAAGAAAAAATATACTTGGATCAAATTATTATTTCGTTTACCACAATGAACATTTTTTATTATTA